ATATTAATTTTGTGAATTTCCCAACCTTATTATTAAACAACTGTTGTCTCATTTATTATTATTATTATTATTTTATCAGAATTCATCCAAGTCTAGTATTAAGATCATAATCTTTGCTAAACTTTACACTTGACAGGATCTTACTCTGTCACCCCAGGCTGGAGTGCAGTGGTGTTAGCTTGGCTCACTGCAACCTCCACCTTCCAAATTCAAGCTATTTTCTTGCCTCAGCCTCCTGAATAACTGGGATTATAGGCATGCACCACCATACCTGGCTAATTTTTGTATTTTTAGTAGAGATGGGGTTTTGCCATGTTGGCCAGTCTAGTTTCGAACTCCTGGCCTCAGCTGATCCACCCACCTCGGCCTCCCAAAGTGCTGGGATTAGAGGTGTGAGCCACTGTGCCTGGCTGCAACCTTTCTTAATCATTTTGTTTTATCATTAGGTCTTATTTTGTGATTTAATATGAGAATGTCTTTTAGCAAACGATTTTGACTTATTTGTTGATATGACAATTATGTGTTGGTGTGTTATCTTTGCTTTATTATATGTGTTTTTAGTGATAATTTGAAAGGTGTGTATTATTTTTGTTCTAGTAGCTACATTTATCTCTTTGTTAAGAAATTGCAGAAAACGATAAAGACGTAACTCTCATATAGATGCAAGAATAAACATGTGTTGAAGATTTAATTTTTCTCCTTAATTAGCAAGGGAACCAGGCAGGTATTATAACTGTTTCAGAGGAAAAAGTCAAAGGAACACATGTTTAAATGGAGTAAAGGAATTGAATTACAAATGGAGGCAAACTGGTTTTTCCACAAGGGAAAGAAATCAAAGGAAACTCTTCTAGATAATACAGTTTATCTATCAGTCACCTACAATTTACAAAGAGATGCAAAATAGCTTTAAAGACAATGAACAGGACCCCGGGAGCTGGGCAGCTGCCAGTGGATGCCCAGGCAAACTCTACTGATTATCTCCCACAGGAAGAATACTATAGGGAAGAAGAAAACTTTTCCTCTATCCCCTGAATGTTCCGTAATTGAGCCTATGAAATAAACTGACAGGGGACAGATTAACAGGAAAAAAGGTATACAAATTTATTATGTGGACAGGGTATCACATGAAAGAAAAGTGAGTACCTCCCAAACCCAGTGAGATCTAGAAGCTTATTTGCTTGTTCTCTCTTTTTTTCTGAGATGGAGTCTCACTCTGTCACCAGGCGGGAGTGCAGTGGCATGATCTCGGCTCATGGCAACCTCTGCCTCCCAGGTTCAAGCAATTCTTCTGCCTCAGCCTCCTCAGTAGCTGAGGCTACAGGCGCGAGCCACCACACCCAGCTAATTTTTGTGTATTTTTAATAAAGACGGGGTTTGGGTTTCACCATGTTGACCAGGATGGTCTTGATCTCTTGACCATGTGATATGCCACCTTGGCCTTCCAAAATGCTTGGATTACAGGTATGAGCCACCACGCCTGCCCTTTTTTGAGGAGGGACTCTCCCTCTCCTTTTTTGAGACAGCATCTCGCTCTGTTGCCCAGGCTGGAGTACAATGGCACAATCTCGGCTCACTGCAATCTCCGCCTCCCCAGTTCAAGAGATTCTCCTGCTTCAGCTTCCTGAAGAGCTGGGATTACAGGTGGCTACCACCATGCCTGGCTAGAGACAAGGTTTCACCATTTTGGCTAGGCTGGTCTCAAACTCTTGACATCATGATCCGCCCGCCTAACCTCCCAAAGTGCTGGGATTACAGGTGTGAGCCACCACACCCAGCTCAATCTCTTATTTATTTTATTATTTTTGAGACAGGGTCTCACTCTATAGTCCTAGCTGGGGTGCAGTGGTACAATCATGGCTTACTGAAGACTTGATCTCCCAGGCTCAAGCAATCCTCCCACCTCAGCCTCCTGAATAGCTGGGACCACAGGCAAACACCACCACACTTGGATAATTTTTCAAGGTTTTTGTAGTGATGAGGGTCTCACTGTGTTGCTGGTCTTGAACTTCTAGGCTCAAGTGATCCTCCCATCTCAGCCTCCCAAAATGCTGGGATTACAGGCATGAACCATTGCACCTGGCTTGGAAGCTTATATACTCTCTTTATATGGGAGAGTGAGGGGTAATGTGGGCAACTTAGGGAAGAGTAAATGATTTTTATTTGGGGGGAAGAAGAATGGGTGACATCCTGTGACAAAGTCCATCTGGGCATGGTGTCAACCTCATCTCTTCTGTGTTGTTAATCTTCCCTGGTTGATGAGGTTCCCAGGAGGTGACTAATGACAATTGAATTTCTTTTTGGAGGATATATCTTTAGACAGATCAGGGACTTCAGAGAAAGTCCCTGTCTGTACTTCAGGGAAGAAAGAGGGGTGAGAGGCAGGAGGGCAGGAGGTCAGAGAGGCCTTCCCTCTTTAGTTCAAAGCAGTCAGCATGCCAAAGCACCATACTTTGGAGTAAGATTTTCTGTTTTGTTTTTTGTCTTTTTTTTAGACAGAGTTTTACTCTTGTTGCCCAGGCTGGAGTGAAGTGGCACAATCTTGGCTTATTGCAACCTTTGCCTCCCGGGTTCAAGCGATTTTCCAGCCTCAGCCTGCTGAGTAGTTGGGATTATAGGCACCTGCCACCACACCTGGCTAATTTTGTATTTTTAGCACAGATGGGGTTTCACCATGTTGGCCAGGCTGGTCTCGAACTCCTGACCTCATGTGATCTGCCCACCTCATCCTCCCAAAGTGCTGGGATTACACCCATGAGCCACTGTGCCTGGCTGGGGTATGATTTTCTGAGCCCCAGTAACATTGTGTTATGCTTTGGGTGGTTGGCAAAAAGTCAGCAGATAGGACTCTGCCCACAGGTCTTTTTTGTCTGAGGTGGTGGCCAGGACATGTGCACAGAAGCAGGCCTATCCCTAACATTTATGGAGCCAATACGACAGTATCAGTGTAAATGTGCTATTTCATATTTAAATATTTATTTTTAATTAAAAAATTTTTGTAACCTTCCCTCTTTTTCTGCCTCATTTACATTTTTTTTGAGATAAAGTCTCACTCTGTCACCGAGGCTGGAGTCCAGTGGCCTAATCTCAGCTCACTGCAGCCTCAACCTCCCTGGGCTTGAGCAATCCTCCCACTTTAGTGTCTCAAGTAGCTGGGTCCACAGGCGTGTGCCACCATGCCTGGCTTTTTTTTTTTTTTTTTCTGTATTTTGTAGAGATGGGTTTCACCATGTTGCCCAGGCAGGTCTCAAATTCCTGGGCTCAACTGATCCACCTGCCTCTTCCTCCCAAAGTGCTGGGATTACAGGTGTGAGCCATCACACCTGATCTTATTTAAATATTTAAAAGGTGTAACTCAAGCTAAGAAAGTGTTGACTAAAATATTATCTATTTTCTCCCCTTCCTATATATAACTTCACAATGACTTGAGAAGGCCAAGTTTGAATGTAGAACTCTTTCTGATTCCTTGGAGTTCTGTGCTTGGAAGAGCAGCTTCTAAGATGACCCTCAGTGATCCCCACCTTTGACATTTACATCCTTGTGTAAACCCCTCCTCTTGAGTGTGGGCAAAACCCATGAGCTGCTTCTAACCTACAGAATCCGAGCAAAGGTAATGGGATGGCCCATCCATGATTAGGTTACATAAGACAGTGACTTCTCTCTTCCTAGCAGACACCCGCCCTTCCTGGCTTTGATGAAGCAAGCTGCCTTGTTACTAGTGAATGAGGGCAGCTTCCAGCCAATAGCCAGCCGGGAACGCCAGCTGGGAACTGAGGCCCTCAGTCTAATAACCCTCAAAGAACTGAAATGCTGCTAACAGCCACATGGATGTGAAAGCAGATCTTTCCCCAATCAAGCCTTGAGATGAGACTGCAGCCCCAGATACCACCTCCCGAGAGACTCTAAAACAGAGAGCCTGGCTAAGCCCTGCCCAGATTCCTAACCCACAGAAACTGTGAGATAATATATACTCAACAATAGTTAACTAATACAAGGGCACTGCTGGAAAAGTGGCCCCCAGTTAGTGGCTCAGCCATCTTCTCTTCCTACCTGCTCTTTATCCTGAACCTGAAAGGTCCTCATATCCATCTCTGTGGACACCCCAGCTCTCATGTCAGTTCTGCCCACTCCCACTCCACACTCCTGGACACAGAGGGTGCACACATTTGGTGAGTGCTGCCCATAAGCCCAGTGCTGCTTTGGAAGGGTAGCCCAGGGGGTGAACCCCCACAAGCCCTGGGAATAGCTCAGGGACATTCGTGCAGGGAATTCTAGGGTCCCAGGTACCCAGAGCATTCTAGAGGCTTCCTGTAGAATGCTCTGGGTACCTGGGACCTCCACAGACTTTCCACCCCACTGGCTCTACCCTTTAGAGCACAGGGTAGGCCAGGAACCCCTCATCCATGGACACCAGTGCTGTACTCAAGGAGCATTGCTGAGGGCCAGGTGATGGGGCCAGACCCAGAGCGCAGCACTGCAGCACACCTGAGAGGAGTCTTCACAGGGAGCTGTGGGTGGAGCTGGGCGGGAATGTGGGAGGACTGAAGCACCCGGTAATGGCGGCCTCTAGCAAGACGGCCCTAGTCACTGGCTTCCAACATAGTTTCTTCAGAGTGGAGAGGAGCTGGGGCTGAGTCATAGCGCATCTGTTCAAGCCCCACCTCTGCATGCTGGTACCTGATTCTAGTCAAATTACCCGAACTCTAAGTCAGTTTCCTTCTCTGTAAAATGAGGATAATAGAACCTATCCCATAGGCTTGTGGAGAGGATTTGTGCATGTAAAATGCCTGATAAGCATTGATGAATATTGGCTGTTATTAAGGAAAGTGAGGCGCAAAGCAGATGAAGAGTGATCTTTCTGTTCCCTGGTGCTGCTTGCCTTACCTAATATGTCAGAGGGAGATGTGAGGAGGGGAGCATTCAGTTCTAGGATACACATGGTCTCTACAAGCATTTATGGAAACTTTCAGAGTATGATCCTAACTCATGCCATCCTTCCTCAGACTCCTGATAGCCGGGATGATACAGTGGGAGGTGCAGCCTGAGTGTGCAGTGTGGGCCTCCATGGTGCCTGTCCAGGAGGACTGAGTTCACTGGGTGAGCACCTCAGTCCCTGGTCCCTGTTGCCTCATCTGTGAAGTGAAAGGGTTACAGGGTGACTCCAAGCATAGACCACAGACTATAGCCTCATCTGGTGATGCACCTGAAGGAAGTTAGAAATGCAAATCTCAGCCATCCCTGCACCCGCCTCCAGCTCCCCTCACGCAGACCTACTAAGTCAGAATCTCTAGAACAGGGATCTGAGAGTTTGCATTTTTCTTTTCTCTCTCTCTTTTTTTTTTTTTGAGACAGTCTGTCTCCCAGGCTAGAGTGCAGTGGTGTGATCCTAGCTCACTGCAACCTCCACCTCCCAGGTTCAAGTAATTCTCCTGCCTCTGCCTCCTGAGTGGCTGGGACTACAGGTACCCACCATCACACCTGGTTAATGTTTGTATTCTTAGCAGAGATGAGGGTTTCACCATGTTGGCCAGGCTGGTCTTGAAATCCTGACCTTAAGTGATCCGTCCACCTCAGGCTCCCAAAGTGCTGTGATTACAGCCGTGAGCCACTGCTCATGGCAGAGTTTGCATTTCTAACATGCTCTCAGGGTACTTTTTTTGCTTGCTAATGTGGAGAACCTCTGGGTTCTGACAGTGGACTGTCAGAGGTCTTCACAGTCTTGAGTCCACAGATGCCGTCAGGTGCCCATGTAGGGGCCTCACGGTTGGGCTTCCAGGGTCCTCACCCTGGGTCAGTGCAGGCCCCAACCAGAGCAGCTTCCCTGGGGTTGTAAGAAAACAAATGTTCCCCTTCTCACTCATTAGAGTTTAGAAACTGCTGACCTGGGTTCAGGGCCACTTTTGTAATTTGTGGGGTGCAGTGCAAAATGAAAATGTAGGGCCCCTTATTCAAAAAAACAGGAGAAAAGCTCTTTCTTTTTTTCTGTGGTCTCCCATGTCACAGTGGTTTTTAATTTGTTGTTTAATGTCATGCACCCTTCAGGCATGGGGATACAGGCAACCTCACCAGCTTCGGGACCTTCTTGAGGATGCTGCAGTTTATGGGGAAACCTCTGAGCTCTTGTTGGAGCAGAAGTGACTGCAGCAGAGAGAAAGCCACGCAGCTGGCAGCAAACAGGTACTTAGGGTGATTAACGAATCTGAAAATTCCCTCCTGCTTCAGCCTCAGCCTGCACCTGAGCTGTGGTCAGTGCAGCAGTACATTTCTGCATAATCTCTTTTGACAACAGAGAGGGGGGCAAATCCACAAGACTAACCCAATTACAGCAAAAGAGAGATCTGGCTGCTCCCTGTTGACAAAGTGAACACAAGGGCGTCCCTGTTCAGGGACGTGGTGCTTTAAGACCAGTGGGCTGCGGGCACAGGAAGTACTTTCCTGCTCCAGCATCTTGAGATATTTTTGCTTTGTGACAAACAGTGGCTGTCACTCCTGGGCTGTGTCAATTAGACACAACCTGCTTGACCCTCTGCACCCCCAGAGCTGGTTCTGAGATACTTCAGCCCAGGAAGAGATGTGCAATGGTAAGAGCCCTCATCCGGGATCAGAAAAGTTGGGGGTCTCTTGTCCCTATTTTGCTGTGTGGCCTTGAGTAGAGTGTTCAGTCTCCTTGGGCCTCAGCATTCTCTTCTGTAACATAATAAGGTGTTAAAGTAGATTACCCCCAGCTCCTCTTCTCTCTTATTAACAATCCTTGCAGGTAAAGATTTAAGAGAATTTTCAGTCTATACTGTTTGTTTTACAGGCAGAGCTGTAAGAACATAGGGCAGTGGGTATATACACCAAAACTAGGGTTGTGGTTTCATTACAGAAGCCTAAAGTGTCCCATTAAGGAGTTTAGCATGGCAGGGCACGGTGGCTCATGCCTGTAATCCCAGCACTTTGGGAGGCCAAGGCGGGCAAATCACCTGAGGTCGGGAGTTCAAGACCAGCCTGACCAACATGGAAAAACCCCATTGGAAAAATTTCTAATAAAAGTACAAAAAAATTAGCCAGGTATGGTGGCACATGCCTGTAATCCCGGTTACTTGGGAGGCTGAGGCAGGAGAATCGCTTGAACGCAGGAGGCAGAAGTTGCAGTGAGCCGAGATCGTCCAGCCTGGGTAACAAGAGCAAGACTCGGTCTCAAAAAAAAAAGAAAAAAAAACAGTTTAGCACTTCTTTATAGGCAATAGGGAGTTATTGAAGGGATCTAAAGAGGGAAAGGGATATGCTCAGAGCTGAGCCTTAGAAAGTTGAAGTGGGGGCCGGGCGCGGTGGCTCAAGCCTGTAATCCCAGCACTTTGGGAGGCGAGGCGGGTGGATCACCAGGTCAAGATATCGAGACCATCCTGGTCAACATGGTGAAACCCCGTCTCTACTAAAAATACAAAAAATCAGCTGGGCATGGTGGCGAGTGCCTGTAATCCCAGCAACTCGGGAGGCTGAGGCAGGAGAATTGCCTGAACCCTGGAGGCGGAGGTTGCCGTGAGCCGAGATCGCGCCATTGCACTCCAGCCTAGGTAACAAGAGCGAAACTCCGTCTCAAAAAAAAGAAAGATGAAGTGGGAAGTGATGTTTCAGAAGAACTGAGGATGGAAAAGAAGGCTGCTAAGTAGTGACCACATGTGTGCACACCTTTTGAACTTCCTGGACAGTAGCAGGCTGACTCCCTAAAGAGCTGTCCTAATTCACAGTCCCACTAGCAAGCTAAGAGAGTCCTTATTTCCTCATAATCTCACTGTCACTCGGCATCGTCAGACCTCTACACTTTTGCCAATCATATGGTTATGAACTGGCATGCCATTGCACTAATTTGAACTTGCATTTCCTTGGTTAGTAGTGCAGTTGAACATCTTTTTATATATATATAGGATATTTATGTTGCCTCTTCTGTGAGTTTCTTGTTTATCTTCTGTCTTTTTTTCTTTTTTGAAATTTTGTAGAGGCTTTCACTATATTACCCAGGCTGGTTTCAAACTCCTGAACTCATGTGATCCTCCTGCCTTGACCTCCTGAAGTGCTGGGATCACAAGAGTGAGCCCCTGCACCCAGCCCATTTCTCTTTATAAATTTTTAAACATTTTCTTTTTCCCCCCTACAGATTCTGATACTCAACTTTTGTCAGTTATTTGCAGTGTAATGTGCTTTCCTAGTTTGTCTTTGCCCTTGGGTTATTAAGGTGGCTTTAGAAAAATAGTCACAGATAACTGTAACGTTGTTTAATTTTTATTAATTTATTTTATGTTTTTGAGATGAGATCTCTGTCGCACAGGCTAGAGTGCAGTGGCACAATCAAGGCTCACTGTAGCCTCAACCTCCCAGGCTCAAGCAGTCTTCCCATCTCAGCCTCTGGAGTAGTTGGGCCCACAGGTATATGCCACTATGCCCAGCTAGTTTATTACTATTATTTTATTTATTTATTTATTTATTTTTTTGAGACAGAGTCTCACTCAGTTGCCAGGCTGGAGTGCAGTGGCACTCCAGTGCACTGATTTCAGCTCACTGCAACCTCCGCCTCTTGGATTCAAGCGATCCTTGTGCCTCAGCCTCTCAAAGTACTGGTATTACATCAACACTTTTACTTATGGTTTGTTCTTTGGTGTCTTTTTAGGAATTCTCTACACTTAAATCATAAACCTATTCTATATTTTCTAAAAGTTTTGATGATTTCCTTTTACCTTTATGCTTTGACCCACATTGAATTTATTTTTGTGTATAGCATAGGTAAGGATGCAATTTTATCTTTTTCCACGTGGATACCCAGGTGTCCTGGCACCATGTGTTGAATGGTTCACAGGTCGACTCCACTGCCCAGGGTGAGACAAGCAAAGCACCAATTCTCACACCGATTCTCAGGGTTGTGCAAGTTCATGGCCAGCATGACAGAGTGAACACCAGCTTCAGTGTTGCACCCTGGGCACCTCGCTTGCCTCCCCCTGCATGCCTGGCCTGGCTCTTGCTCTCCCCTCCTAGGAGTCCAGTACAAGGTAGGAAGGCGCCTCTTGTCGTTGACAGTCCCTGACATATACAAGACTTTGTGTATCCTGCTTAGGAATGTTGGTTCCTGATACAGAAGAGGCTTTGTGAAGGAGGAGGAAAAGGAACCCTGGAATTTGCTATCAGCTCTGGAGATGTTAGGAGGGGTGCCTGGGACTAGGGCAGCTAGAGTGAGGGTCAGGGACCTTGTGCCTGAGAGGTGCTGTTTGAGGTTTCACAGTTCTCTGAGGCTTCTGGGGACAGGATGCTGGTGCTTATACAGCCTCTCCCCTCCACGCTGTCAGGAATGAACCCTGGAGTGCCCATATTTGTGGTTCTTCCCCCTGCCTTCTCCATAGAATATGGAAGGTGCTTACAGAGCACCCCAGAAAGTTTAACCAACTACACAGATGTGGACTCAGATAGCAGTAGAAGTAGAGAAAAAATTTCTTCTTCTCATTCTCTTTTAATCCTTCTAATTATATCTGGGAGAAAACTAACCTATAAAGCCCCCTCCATGACAACACTTGCTAATCTTCCCCTGTTATCCCCTAGAGACTGGGCCTCAGGCTTGGGAACCTTGGTGAGTTATGGTATCTGATCAGATATTTAGTCAATTATTTTGTTTTGTTTTTTGAGATGGAGCCTCACTGTGTTGCCCAAGCTAGAGTGCAGTGGCACAATCTTGGCTCATTGCAACCTCTGCCTCCTGGGTTCAAACAATTCTGCCTTAGCCTCCAAAATAGCTGGGAGTATAGGAGCCAACTACCACGTCTGACTAATTTTTTAATTTTTTAGTAGAAATGGGGTTTTGCCATGTTGGACAGGCTGGTCTTGAACTCCTGACCTCAAGTGCTTTGCCTGCCTTGGCCTCTCAAGGTACTGGGATTGCAAGTGTGAGCCACTGTGCCTGGCCACATTGTTTTGTTTTTGTTGTATTTGTTTTGTGGGGGTTACCTTCTATTCTTGCAAGTGATGGCAGTTTGCTATTAATGATGCCAACAGAGCATTTGCTTTTGAATACAATTATTTGAGCAAAAAAAGTACGCCTTATGTGTGTCAAATCACATTTATGTGTGTATTTGGATAAAGACATGTAGGAAAGGAGGACACCAAAATGTTGCTGGTGGCTTTCCCAGGTGATGAGATTTCAGATGGTTTTTGTTTTCCTTATGCTTTTTTGCATTGTTTGCATTTTTTATAATGAGCATACATTGAGTTACATAATCAGAAAAAAACTATTTTTATTTATTATTATTTTGAGACAGAGTCTGGCTCTTTTGCCCAGGCTAGAGTGCAGCGGTATGATCTTGGCTCACTGCAACCTCTGTCTCTCAAGTTCAAGCAATTCTTGTGCCTTAACTTCCTGAGGAGCTGGGACTACAGGTGTGCGTCACCATGCCCAGTTAATTTTTGTATTTTTAGTAGAGACGGGCTTTTGCCATGTTGGCCAGGCTGGTCTTGAACTCCTGACCACAAGTAATCTGCCTGTCTCAGCCTTCAAAAGTGCTAGGATTACAGATGTGAGCCACCACGCCCCGCAGAAAAGAAGTGTTTTTATTATGGAAAGAGGTATATGTACTTAAAGGAACATATTAAGTAAATAATAATACAAAGAATGTATTTGTCAACATGTTGGCCAAAGTTGGGAAACCCAACTCACAGAATAGCAGCTTAGCGAGAATGTGGGGCTCGCTCTGGGTGGCTGTGTGGGAGAGGAGACAACTGAATGCCAGCACGGAAGGAGTCAGGATGGGCTTCCTGTCTTGGGACATTCTGGCTGCTGCCAACCAGCAGCTGGGCTCTGTCCTTTCAGTGTTGTTCACAGGATTCCATTTCAGAGTCTCTGTCACAAATTTTTAATCAGGGATGTATTGATTATTTGGTGAGGTCAGGGCTGAGTTTTGGTGGTATGTTATTTACCTTGCCAGGTGGGATGGACAAGAGGGTATTTCATCAGGGGTCTTGCTATGTTGCTGTATTCGTCCATCCTCATGCTGCTATAAAGAAATACCTTAGGCTGGGCGAGGTGGCTCATGCCTGTAACCCCAGCACTTTGGGAAGCCGAGGTAGGTGGATCACCTGAGGTCAGGAGTTTGAGACCAGCCTGACCAACATGGCGAAACAATATACAAAATACAAAAATTAGCCAGGTGTGGTGGCGGGCACCTGTAATCCCAGCTACTCAGGAGGCTGAGGCAGAAGAATCACTTGAACCAGGGAGGCCGAGGTTGTGGTGAGCCGAGATTGCACCATTGCACTCCAGACTGGGCAACAAGAGCAAAACAACATCTCAAAAAAAAAAAAAGAAGAAAATACCTGAGACTGGGTAATTTATAAATAAAAGAGTTTTAATTGGCTCACAGTTCCTCAGGAAACTTTCAGTGAGGGGGAAACTTTTATTTCAAAAATCAAAGATTTTGATTGATTTTTCTATGGCCAGAGCAGGAGGAAGAGAGAGAGGAGGAAGTGCTAACACTCTTTAAACAACCAGATCTCATGCGGACTCAGTCACTATTAGGACAACAGCAAGGGGAAAATCCAACCCATGATCCCACCACCTCCCACCAGGCCCCTCCTAGAGACTGGGAAGAATTGAGGATTACAACCTGACATAAGATTTGGATAGGGACACAAATCCAAACCATAGGAGTTGCCTAGGCTGGTCTTGAACTCCTGACCTCAAGCGATGTCTCTTGGTTGAGAGCACTGGCTTCTCCTGACTGGGCTGTCCTTGTCTGCAGGGTGACCACTGTGTGGCTCCTGTCCCTGACACTTGGTGGCTGGTGCCAGGCCCATGGTACTGGCCCCTTCCAGGGAAGGCATAATTTAACGGGAGCCCTGGGGCAAAGGTTTCCTGAT